ACAGGTGTGAAGGGAAATCTGAGTCAATCAACTGACCTTGAGTGAAGTGGTGTCGAACGCGCCGTGGCTCACTCAAGAAAGCCAAAAAAGAATATACTTGTCGCCAAAAAAAACTGCAGTCCCAAGGCAAATCTCAAGCCAACTGCTTGTCCCAATCTGTTCCTGGCTCGCAAGTCCCACACGCGGTAGTCCCGGATGGCGGCAAGTCGCACGAGTCCCAAAAAAAATGTTGGTTCCAAGACAGTCCCAACTAGTCCCACGTTTGTCCCAATCGGTCCCAAGTGGTCTCGGATGGTCCTGTACCACTGCCACAAGAGTCGAGGCAGTCCCAACCCCCAGCATTCGCTCCTCACGCAGATTCAATATTGTCGCGCGCACCAACTGCCACCACGTCACGTTGTCGCTGCAACACAATCCAACTCTGGTAGCACAACCTCATCAAACAAAATAGACGCCACGCCGTAGAGAAAAGAACTCCGCCGCTGCCGTGCCGCAAATCCTTGTTGTCGTGTCGCTAGTCCAGTAGCATTTCCACACCAAAGAAAAAAAAACAAGTGTTGTCGCGCCACCAATCCGGCAGCACTTCCCCGCCAAAAATAAAATCAAGTGTCGCCGCGCCGTAAGTCCGACAACACTTCCCTGCCAAAAAAAAAAAGAAATCAAGTGCCACCGCGCCGCAAATCCGGCAACACTTCCCTGCCAAAAGAAAAATAAAGTGTCGTCGAGCTGCAAGTCCGGTAGCACTTCCCTAGCAAAAAAAATAAATAAATAAAAATTCATGTGCCGCCGCGCCACAAGTCCGGCAACACTTCCCCGCCAAAATAAAATCAAGTGCCGCCGCGCCGCAAATCCGGCAGCACTTCCCTGCCAAAAGAAAATCAAGTGTCGCTGTGCCGCAAATCCGGCAGCACTTCCCTGCCAAAAGAAAAATCAAGTGCCGCCGCGCCACAAATCCGGCAGTACCTCCCTGCCAAAAGAAAAATCAAGTGCCGCCGGGCCAAAATCCGGCAGCACCTCCCCAGCGCGTAAGAAAAATGGTTGCCAGCGATGCCGCACCGCTCGGGCAGCATCTCCCCAGTACTGCCGTTATGGCCGCCGATGACGCCGTGCCACAACACCCTCATAGCGCCGCAACATCGTCGTCGCCCCCTGTCGGCGGCACTGGATTTTATTTTGGTGGAGAAGTGTTGCTGGACTTGTGGCGCGGCGGCACTTGATTTTTTTTTATTTTATTTTTTTGGCAGGGAAGTGCTACCGGACTTGCGGCTCGGCGACACTTGATTTTTCTTTTGGCAGGGAAGTGTTGCCGGATTTGCGGCGCAACGACACTTGATTACTTTTTTTTTTTGGCACGGAAGTGCTGCCGGACTTGCGGCGCGGTGGCACTTGATTTTTCTTTTGGCGGGGAAGTGCTCCGCGTTGCGCTGTCGTAAATCCCCCTAGAGACTAGCCAGCCATTGGATGAAGCAGAGTGCTCCAGCCAGGCTATGGCTGTCTCCTCCTCCTCGCCGCCCTCCACTGCCGTCCTCCAGCTGCGTCTTGGGCACTCCTACCTCCTCTCCAGCAATGAGGCAAGTGTGTTGTCGCACACTGGCTGCTGGAGGCAATTGTGAGGCAGCTGGAGGACAGCTGCCTCTTTTGTAGTGGCTGAGGAGGGCAGCATCAGCCTCAGCTGCCCCCAGGCAAAATTCGTCACTTGCCTGGGGCCCTTGATCTCAACACGATCAAGGGTCTGAGGTCGTCGCACCTCAGCCACACACTTAGGGAGGCAGTTATACTCAACTGCCCCCCTCTTTTCTCCTACTTTTCCTTGTACTCGGCCTCACGCTGAGCACAGGTGCACTGGAAAAATGGCAATTTCCAGCCAAGTTCCCTCCACCTCTTCAGCTCCCCAGCCTGTGGCCTGAGTCACATTCAGGCCAGTTTGGCCTATATCTGATCGTAGCCGCGGCCACATTCGTGGCCGTGGCTTTTTCTTTTTTTTCTTTTTCCCTTCCTCTCCTTTTCTTTTTTTTCTTTTTCCCTTCCTCTCCTTTTCTTTTCCCCTACCTACCCCCTCATTTTTTTTTTGTGCAGGGGCAACTCGTTTTCCAAAACGAGCTGCCTCTGTTGTCATTTCGCAAGGTCGAACTAGAGTCAAGCTCAACAGGGTCCTCTTTCCCCTGCCCGCGCCTGTATCTGGCACAAAATAGGTGCTTGATACAGGCGCACGGCTCAAGGGAAAGAAAAGCCTACCTACCTGTTAGCTGCTACTGTCGTGAAACCAACGGCCGCCAGGTAAGACTCTCTCTCTCTCTCTCTCTCTCTCTCTCTCTCTCTCTCTCTCTCTCTCTCTCTCTCTCTCT